ATAGGCCATATTTAACAACTAATGTAAATAGCCAAAAAAACAAAAGCAAAGGATCTGAGAAATAAATCAAACTTTAGCTCTAAGGCTTGCAGTCTTAACATAGCCATATTGTCTTTAGGTCTTCTCCTGTAGCTCTAAAGCACACATGTTATATCTCATTATATTCTTATTTATTTAATCCTTAGAAAAACTATAATGTAAAAACACTCTGTGGCAGATGGTTGGGACGAATAAGCGTATTTCCCAAAAAGTATTCCTCTGGACATGACATGACTAAATGTAATAAGTGAGTAAGTATCTGTTAATTGTGGTCCAGACATGTAAAAGCTTCCAGGATAAACAGTTTTTGATAGAATAAAAATGCCAAAATGATCTCCTGAGACTTGACCAATATGCTGACCAGTGTAACACTGGAGGCCTTTTGGTCATTTGATAATCACTTCCCAGTCCACATGAGAAATCACCCAGTGCCTCTATTATGGTCTAAACTGCCAAGAGCAGATGTTGACATTTTGACATTTTGTATAGTGGTTATGGGCAATAATGTCAACCCAGATATTGCCTTTTGTTTGCAATTTCAGTAAGTCAGGCAATACCAATCAATCACAGAAAAAGAAACACAATCCGTCTAAGAAAATAACTGCTTGATTCTGCTACACACCCTTAACTAATCCCCAGGGCCGAAACCTTTAACCTCTGTGACATCGCCTCTTCATCTCATGCCAGTGAATCCTGACGGTACCTCATCCATCAGCAACAAGGAGCCATGAAGCTCGCACGAAACTAGATACTTATCGCAATCTAATCTCTTGTCTACTCTAAGCACTACACATGCTTGCATACATAAACATATAAAACAGACAACTACAAACATACTCACATGGACTCACACATGCTTGCACCACTAAACACAAATCCTCACTGACAGACTTGAACTCACAGATACGATAAACATGTAACGTATTACAGATTCTTTGCCTTCTTATGTTCACTTGCTGGAGTTTAATGTGTGTATCCCAAAATCACACATACCAAATTTGCCTTAGAATCTGTACAGCATACTACACCATCTACTGTATCCTTAAAAAAAATGGAATCTTTTCAAAAAAGATGTCATACTTTATGTGTAGCTTTGTGTGCTTGTTACTGGGTTCATTGCACATTTCAACAAAACTGTACTGAAATTAGTTTTTTTTGGAAATGAAAAAGCTAATTCACAACCTCCCACACATCCCCCCAAAAACAGTAGAACACACTGCTCTCTATAGCAACTTAGACCCTTGAACTCAGAACCTGAGGGAAAGCTGAATGAAATACTTGCAGGTAACCAAAGAAGGCTCTTTCCTAAGCACTTGGTGTTCAACGCCTCGTCAAGGGCTCCCAAAGTAGGCAAAATATAGCATTGCATTATGGGAGACTGACCTAACCCACCTTTCAGATTCCAGTCAACCTTAAGGCAATGTGAGTGCTGGCAATATGGTCAAATGTTGACAGGTTAATCAGTCAGCACATGAGCAAGTTCTGTGTTGTACTCAGGCCTAATATGTATGAAAATGTAATATTTTCAGTAACCGAGGAAAAGATTTTTATTGATGCCCCTGTCGTTTTTTTTATATCAAGCTTTGTGGATAAAAAAGAAACTGGAAATGATTTTACAAACACATACATGATGTCATGTAAACTAAAGCTAAAGAGTTTCACATTACCAAGAGCCTCCCTAGGCAGAATCCTAAACCACTCTTGCTTGGTTTCAAAATGTACAGCCTGCCTACTAAAGCAAGGGGTCTCAGCATCGCTTCCCCCGCAAAAAGACCGGTTTAGTTGAGTTCTGTTGCACACACACAAGGAGGTTTATTTCAGCTGGAATTTCTTATTGTTAAATCCAAGCTGCAAAGGGAAGGACGACAGCTTGTTGGTTATGGGGCAAACGTGGGTCAGCAGAAAGAAACCCTGTTTTTGCATTGTTCCCTGTCGTCGCCCTGAATGACATGCAGAGGGATGCAGTTCCTCACACGAGGCATCTCACTGCGTACATGGAGCAGTGGCCTAGTTTGCGACAGGATCAGGGCATTACTCTTAATCCACCAGATAGATGTCATATGCACGCACGCGCACACAAATACAC